AAAAGACCCAGAATAACTGTAGCAATCTTGAGAATGAAGAATAAAGTTGGAGGAATCATGCTACCTGGTGTCAAACTATTCTACAAGGCCATAGTAATCAAAACAACATGATAGTGGCATAAAAATAGACATATAGATCAATAGAACAGAATAGATAGCCCATAAATGAATGCATGCTTTTATGGTCAATTAATATTTGACAAAGGAGTCAAGAAAACACAATGGGGAAAAGATAATCTATTCAGGGAAAATTGGACAGGATATGGGCAAAAAAATGAAACTAGATCACCACCTTGCACCATACACAAGAATTAATGCCAAATGGATTAAAGTATTTTGTCAACAGAGACAAGAGGGAAGGGGGGGGGCAGGGAAAGGGAAGGGAAGGGGTAAGGACATATAAGATCAGGGGGAAGAGTGAGGGAGGGAGGGGGGGGGGCAAGGGAAAGAGGGGGGAAGGCAGAGACAAATGTATTTAAAAAGTAAATAAATTAATTAAAAAAAAAATCAGTTGGACAGCTGGGAAGAAAAAAAAAAAAAAGTATTTTGTATATAAAAATCCTAGAAGAAAAGGCAGTAAAATTTCAATATTTCTTGTAACTATATATATATATATATATATCTGATACATCAAATATATATATTTCTTGTAACCATATATATGATATATATATTTGATGATTATGATTATGATATATTTGATATGTTTCCTTGGGCAAGGGAAACAAAAAGAAAAAAAGAAAAATTATAGTACATCAAACTAAAAAAATTTGCATAGCAAAGGAAAGCATCAACAAAATGAAAAAAACAACACATGGAATGGGAGAACATATTCACCAATGATACACCTTTAAGGTGTTAATATCCAAAATTTATAAAGAACTTATATAACTCAACAAGAAAGAACAAACAATCCTATTAATAAATGGGCAAATGATCTTAATAGACATCTCTCCAAAGAGGACATACAGATGACCAATAGACATATGAAAAGATGCTCAGTGTCACTAATTATCAGAGAAATGCAAATTAAAACCAAAATGAGATATCATCTCACACCTATTAGAATGGCTATCATCAATAAATCCTCGTGATCAGTGTTAGCGAGGATGCAGAGATAAAACAAACTTCATGCACTCTTGTTGGGAATGCGGATTAGTGCAGACATTGTGTAAAACAGTATGGAGTTTCCTCAGAAAATTCAAAGTGAATCTGCCTCCACCCAGTGATTCCACTTCTGGGAATATATTCCAAAAAACCCAGAACATTGATTCAAAAGAATGCATGCACCACTATGTTCATTGCAGCACTATTTATAATAGCCAAGATTTGGAAGAAGCATGAAGGTCCATCAGTAGACAAGTGGGTAGAATGATGCAGTACATTTACAAAATCTTTTACTACTCAGCCATAAAAAAATAAACCTCTTATGTCAGCATGGATGACATAGAGGTTATTATTCTAAGTGAAATAAGCCAGTCAGAGACATGCACCATATGATTTCACTTATATGTGGAATCTAATGAACCAAATAAACAAACAAATGAGAAACTGACTCATATATACAGAGAACAGACTGACAGCTCTTGGACATGCGGGGGGAGCTAGGTGAAATAGGTGAAGGGATTAAGGAAAAGAAGTACACAACAAAAAAGCCCCTCATAGACACAGACAACAGTATTATAATAACCAGAGTAGGGGGTTATGGGGAGGTTGAAGAGGTAAAGGGTGACAAATGGTGATGGAAGGAGACTTGACTTTGGGTGATGAACACACAATACAATATACTGATGATGTATATAGAACTGTATACTTGAAACCTACATAATTTTATTAACCAATGCAACCCCAATAAATTCAATAATTTTTTAAAGTTTAATAGTGAAGGGAGAAAGTCAATTTAGAATTATGTCAATTTTTAAGCTTTTATAGCAGCTTATATTCTCTGTTACCTGTTGGATGAAAGTATTGATTTATTAATGATTTAAAATTATTAAACATTCATCAAATAGTGATTGTGTTTAGCTTTCAGAGGTGAATTATAATTGAAGTCATCATTTTCAACTCTCTTTCAAGCTTGCTATCAATGGACAAAGAAAATACTTTAATTATGTAAATGAAATAATTATTGAATTTTCCTCCAGTTTTGTTGGAGCTTATTAATATCCTTGGATTTTCATGTTTCCATAGAGTAGCATATACTGCATGTTTGGGTAGTGCACTAAGTATCAATCTCTCTGCCGAAAATAGTTACAAAGGACATTTCTGAGGGTTTAAACATGTTTTATCACATCTGTCACCTGAAAGTGTGTGTGAGCCCTGTTATTATGGAAATGAGCAAATAATTAGCAAAAATCTAACATTATTCCTATACATGGCTAGCCTGTGGTTGAAAAGTAGAAACTAGTAAACAATGTTTACGAAAATATAATGGCAATTAATAGCCCATAAGTGAATGGTTACGTTAGTAAGAATTTAGCTCACTTTTTGTATACTTCCATATTAAAATAAGAGAAAATTGTCAGGTTGTTTTGTTTTTTTGTTTTGTTTTGACAGTGACAACATTATTTTCAAGATAAGAAAGAGATGTTTCTGAACTAACATCCTACTTGGCTCCACAGGCCCATTGTTTTATCTGCTGTAATCTGACTGAATTATGTGGGGAACAATTTTGGTAAAAGGCTGCTAGAAATATAAGACTGGTGTGTCTTGTAACAAACCTTCTTTCAAACAAGAAAGAGCAGATTTCAACTGATGAAATGGCAAGCACACTAGACTCAGTTGTTAACTTGGTAATCTAGTTAACTGGAGAACTTGTCTTGGTTTATTTATCCCAGGCCTAAATCTCTTACTGAAAGGTCCAGTGGATTAATTCAATTGAAGCTATTTCCTTGACATAGAACTTCAGTGACAGCAAAGAGCCACTCTGCTCTTGAGGCAATATATATAAGCTACAATGAGCCAGCCCAAATTTTGTCATTGTTTTTCCCATGGAGCACAGATAGAAATGAATCCCTGTCCCCTCTAAAATGTATTGCCTTTTGGTATTCCGATTATTCCATTTTTTTAAATTAATAATTATAAAGCTGTCATATATACCATATTTTCTTGGATTTTAGCAATTAAATACCTAGCATTTATTACTAACATACACACCCTGAACCTCAGCTGCATATGGCAATGCTGACAAATTACTTCAGAACAAATGTTATCTTACATATTTGCTTCTTGGATGTTCATTTGAAAAGAAATCTCTTAAGCTGTAAATTATCAGACTGACAGACTGGAGAGAGGGAAAATACCTATATTTTTCCTATCGATTAAACACCTTTGATTTTAGAGTCAATGCTTAAGGAGGCCTCTCAGAGCTGTTAAACATTGTTCATGGCTGGCTCTTCAATTACTCTCACTAAGCATTTAAAAACTCCACAGGGGGAAATTGTGCTCCCAGTGTCAGTGGTTGCACAGTGCCCAGTGTTAATCCTCTTACTCTTTAAAAACATCTCTACAGTAAACATGTGCTCTGAAAAGAGGAATGGTCGGGATTATTCAAGTTACGTGTGGAATAAAGTCACAGATCTCAAACTGCAGCGTGTGTCAGAATCAACTGGTGCATGGCCATGTGAAAACGCAGACAACTGGGTCCCACACCCAGAGTTTATGATTTAGTAAGTATGGGATGGGGTCCAAAAATGTGCATTTCTAACACGTATCCAGGAGATATTGATGCTGCCATTGTTGGTTTGGGAGGCTTACCTAAGAACCATTATTACTGAGTATAATTTATCCAATTGTCTTCCTAGGTTAAAAATTATTCAGTAATTGAAAAAGTTATGAAAATCCTGCAAACTATATGACCCAATTTCTTGGCGATTTACAACAGATATTCTAAGAAGCTTTAAAGTTAAGAAATTTTTTTTGTTTAATTTTCTTTTCCTCAGTATTTATCTAAATTATTTGATCCAACCTCCTTTATGTAATAGATAATTAACATCTACTTGGATATTTTCTAAAACAGAGTTTAGAAAATTCTTCTCTTGGAACTTGAGCTTGAAAACCTCAGAACATGTTGTCTTGAGGAACTGTATTGCTCACATTCTTTTTAACTTTTTCCATTTTACTAAGAAGATATTTTGCTGTATTATGTAAAGTTCAAGACAGCATTAGTCTTCCTCACAGAGGAGGTTGAATTTGAATTTATTTGTAGAGCAGTAGTTAGAAATGAGTGTGAAGGCAAGTAGGATATTTCAAATGAGAAAGCCAGGTTCAGAGAATGTGAGGCATGAGGAAATGAGTTTGGCCTAAGTATGGGCCATAGAGGACAGATGAAGTGACAAAATCTCAGAACAAAGCAGCCCCTTGCACTCGTCATGATCGGTCTGCATCAAAGTCCCCTCTAGTACTTTCAGAAAGCTTCAAAGTTTGTTCAAAAGCTGTTAAAATTTCCAGCTCTGGCCTACTATGTCTCGTTTTCCACATACCAGGTCAAATTTTCTTCAAGGAAAAAATAATTGTTTTTATCTTAGGAATATATTTATAAAGGAGTTGTTTTATAGACATTATAAGGAAATATAATTAAGTTAGTTGAATGAAAAAAAAAGCTCGTATAGATTTTCATATTAAGGGTATGTATATATTGAGGGCTTGAGTAAGTGTGAACAGCTGGGGTAATGTCAGGCTGAATTTAATTCATGTTATTTTCATTAAAGATACTCATAATCAATTTCAAAATTCTCTTAGTGTTATCTTCTGACCCCAGTGATTTATTTTAACATTTATCCACCAATGTCTCAATGTAGGGAAATATGACCCGTTAGGGAAATGATACTAAATGGCTGGCTTGACATCTTGCATAGAGAAGGAGGGCAAGTAACATCAAAAGCAATCCTTGAAATTGTAAATATTCTTTAAGTGGGTAAAATAGAGCAGACATGCTTATCATATGTCGATTGTTTTTCCCCTGATATATAATCAGTCGAAAATAGTTACTTGTCACTTACCTTGTGTCCAACGTCCTGCTCTTTTCATCCCCAGATCCAAATATGATCGATAACTTCTAACAATGGAAAGGTCACCTGGCAGCCGAAAGGAAGCTGGTAACTGTATTAGTTTTGTATTTCTGCAAAACAAATTTTCACACAAATAGCAGCTTAAAATAACACATTCATGATTTCACTTTCCTGTGGGTCTGGAATCAGGACACCGCTTACCTGCGTTCTCTGCTCACAATCTCACAAAAATGCGGTCCAGGTATTGCCCAGATTGCATTCTCAACCAGATTATCAGGTGGGGAAAGGTCATCTCTCAAGATCCCTGTGGTTGTTGGAAAAATTCATTTTTCTGCGGCTGTGAGACAGAGGTCAGTTTTTTTTCTTGGCTGTTAGCCAGAACTACCCTCACCTCCTAGAAGAGCTCAGTTCCTCACTCCATTACCCTCTCCATTGGCCTTCTCATAAGGTGGCAACTTACTTTATCAAAGCCAGAAAAGGAAAAGCATCCTTCTCATTAGTGAAGGCCCAGTTCTTCTTTTAAAGATTTTCAACTAATTAAGTCAGGTCTAACCCAGATGATTTCCTTTTCAATAAATTCAAAATGAACAGTTTTGGAACCTATTTTACATCTTCCAAAACTTTTCACCTCTGCTGCATTATGTTGCCTAGAAGCATGTCCCTCCCCCACTCAAAGGCAGGAACATATTGGAACTGACTCCTCAGGGAGCAGAGATCAGGGATTCTATCCCAGTTTAGCCTCTCACAATATGTTTAGGTCACATGTTATTTTAATAAGTAAATCTGTAATGAGAAGAAAAACACTTTAAATCAGTGGCTAATCGAAGGAAGAAACACATGGAGAACTTTAGAACATGCCCATGTCTGGGACTTACAACAGAATTTATGACTTTATGCTTTGGAATAGGATTTGAATATTCAGTTTTTAAATGCTCCCAGGTGCTTCTTGTTCAATTAGGTGGCTACAAGTGCTTTCAGAAAAGAGTGAAAGAACTAAAGTGTTTACCCAACAGCACACCCCTTTGTAATCTCATCAGAAGACTCTGAAATAAATAAGGTTGTTTAATTGAACACAAGCAGGAGAATGGACTATTGTAATTTGGGAGTCATTATTACACACATTTTTGTGAGACCTGGGACATCTAGGTTTTAATTCTTTAGTTGGAGAAAACATTTAACTTGAAAGAAATAGTTCACTTGCCTGATTCCCTCCTGAAAAATGCAGCCGAGGCTGACAGCAATGCCATCAGGCACTGGTGGGGTGGCGTCGTGGCCCTGAGCTGGAGAAGAGGGTGGCTGAATGAGACTGATAGGAGTAGCCCACCAGGGAGGGTCAGAGTGTGAGAAGGTTGAGGAAGGTGCCTGTACTGAGGTGGTGTCAGCAATAGACCTGTGACATCAGTAAGGACTGAACCTATTTACATTGATGCATATATTGAGGATCAAAATTTCTCACTGCAGAGAATGGAGGTATAGGTATAGAGAGAAAGAAAACTATAATGAATCCCTTGATGCTCTTGGATTGGAATGATTATCAATGTGAACTCATGTGTGTGGGGGTACATCCAACTCTGCCCACTAAAAGAGCTTTGGAGCAGTGGCACTCCAATACTGATAAGCTCGTTTAATGCCTAGATCTTGCCTTGTAAATGCCACTGACACGAAGAGAAACCATGGCTTCTTAAGGAAGTGACTGATTCTAGGAATGGGGCAGTAAATATGTAAGATGAGCTTGGAACATGTTTTGAAGAAAGTCTTCAAAGAATGTTGGGAACATGTCAAAAGAACATAGAAGTGAACTTGGAGTGGCCCCACTGTTGAAAGTAGAGATGACTTAAGCATCAGAATAAATATGTAAATTATATAAACAAATGAATATATAAACAAAGAGAAGGCAAATCTTTCCTTTCAGTAGAAAACCATATAACACAGAAGGAATTAAAAACTCATGATTTGGCAAATTCATAGTTATTGGTACAGGTGAGAATCATCTGCGGATGCTAAAAATACTGGATAAAATTTTGATGAGAACAGGACATTTACATAATCTCAAACTATCTCCCTGTGAATAACAAAACAAAAATAAATTTCTTTAATTTCAAAAGAAAAACAAAAGAGTAGCTTTTAAGTGGAAAATCAAAGAAGACATAACCATAATCAAGTGGTCAAATTAGCATTGCCAACGCTGGGTCAAAGTACAAAATAGTATTCAATGAAATAAAGCACATAATGACATACAAAACAACCTGAATGCTGTTATACAAAATAGCTCAGCAGAAGTGTATGTTCAAGCATCCAGGTCTTGAAAGTCAATGAAGGAATGAGAAACTATTCCAGATTAAAAAGAATAAAGAGACATGACAATTAAATACAACTGTCAATCTTTGCATATTTCACTACACATTTTATTATTAGGCAATTGTAAAAATTTGAATGGGGTTTGTGGATGAGATAGCAAATTAGTTTCTAGGGCTGCCATAACAAAATTCACAGACTGGGTAGCTTACACAACTGAGACTTAGTTGCTCACAGTTCTGGAGGTTAGAAATCCAAGACAAAGGTGTTGGGAGACTTGGGTTTTTTTCTATGGACTCTCTCTTGGCTTGAAGAAGCTTGCCCTCTTGCTGCCTCTTCACATCCAGATTGGATGAAAATCTCTGCTACAGGCCTGAGTTTAACTTAATCCCCTCTTTAAAGGCCCTATCTCCAAATACAGTCATATTCCAAGGTACTAAGTTTAGGACTTTAGTATATGAATTTGGGGGAAAGATAATTCAGCACATAACACATAGCAGTAACAAATCAGTGATAATTTCCTAAATTTGATGGTTATATTGTGGTTAAGTTAGAAAATATCCTTGTTTTTTAGGAATTACACAGTAAGGGTTTTGGAAGTAACAAGATATCAACTACTTAGCTTATTCTCAACTGGTTCAGGAAAAAACATATTATCTGTGCTATTCATTTTAAAAAGTAAAACAAATAAGAAAGATTTTGCGTGGCTTTATGGAAAAGGCATATTGAAGAGGCATTATCTTCAGAAAAAGGGATAAGATAGTGACAGCATTTACTAAGTAACCATCACATGATTTTTTAGTTTTAGTTCATGTTGGAAATCGTAGGAAAAGTGAATACAGATGAAATCACTTTCTTGCTCTAACTGAGAAAGTTATCCAGGCAGATAAACAAAATAGAACCCTAAGGAAAAAAGAAGAGATAAAGCGCTGGCTCAGTATAGTGAAAGATGAAAGATTTCTGATGCTTGAGGCACAAAACTGTACATCAAATTCTAACATCCGATGTGGAGGGCTCTGACAGACAGAAGGAGGTACATTTGTGGTTGTCTGTGAGTAAACTGGAAGCATCAGAGTGGAGAGTATGTTAAAATAATTTCTGGAGAAGACAGAAGCCAAGTTCAATATTAATTAAAAATTAATAGCTATGAACAGTATGAAAAGAAAAAATATCTTGTTTCCCTCGACGCTGATCCTTTCTCCTCTAAATATTATCATCATATTTAACTACATTCAATGCAATTAGTTGATTAGGGTCCTAGATTTTGTGTATGACATTGTGGAGAGTATAACAAATTCTCTCAAGTAAGGACTTACCATCTGGTAGTGAAGATTAAATAAAAAGTTGCTCCAGTATTTTTACACAAGAGAAAATAAGGCTTGCTCTGCTCTTCACTGATTGGGGAAAACTGTGGAGGTCAGGAGGGTGAGAAAGTATGGCCAGTGCACCATGCTCTCCCTCCCTCAGGCCTTCTTGCATGTTGCAGATACCCTGCTTTCCCTCTCGTGGGTCTCCATTCACTTAACTCCTGTGTTGTAAGTGTCTAGCAGCATAAGCTCTATTTTGTAGACAGTAAAGAGACTTTATACATTTTTGAGGAGGGAATTGACATAATCACAATTCTAATTTTGGGCTTATTTGTTATTTCAAAAATGATTTACTTCTTTACAGGCACAATACATTACTCATTCCAGACATTCCTTCCTGACATCCAAGAACTTGGGTTGAATGTCACCCTTAAAGTTGTCTGGCACCCTGTAATTATAACTACTAAAGAGTCTCTAGCATAGTGATCTGCTTGCCTGTCTGGATTTACTACTGACTTATATGTCTCGTGGACAGTTACCATGTTTCACTGACCCTTGGTTCTTCAACTCTTAGCTCAATTCCTTGAACATAAAAGTTTTCAAAAACTATTTGATAAATCAAAGAGTAAATACTTCCTGAGAAACTTATAACCAAAGAGTTTGTAAACTCAGAGTAATTTCTTCCAGGTGGTGAATAATTCACAGATTAGGTGAAACTTGAACTGGTATTTGAGGTATGGATATAACTTGAAAGGGTAGAAAAGGAAGGAAACCAATTCTAGTTTGGGGTAATAGTACTATGCAAAGACATCCAAGGGCAAGGTGTACTGTGATCATTAGTCACTTTAACTGGATTGAGAGTGTAGTCTAACCAAAATGTATACTTTTTCAGGTATTGCATTAGGTATTTGTGAATAAAAATTGAGGGCTATTTTGTAGAGGACATGAATATTATGCTAAGAAGTATAAATTATATGTTGTAGGTCATAAAAATCCAGTAAAATATGTGAGCCGAGAATTGGCATTTTCCAAGCTCTGATTTGAGGTTCATTTATTGCCTTGGTACTGTTTTTTGAGTGTCTTCTCTATTTTAGTCACTTCAGATTCTAGAGGTAACACAGAAGAACTATCATAGAAGTCATTCTGGTGCAAATATAAAGATTGGAGACACAGCGAAGAAAACAAACCAATTGCAATAGTATTGAAATAACCTAGTGAGGAGTTATGAGACCTTTACTAAGACACTGAAAGTGGAAATATTGAAAAGTGATTTTAATAAACATAATATAATTTGCATAAAAATAATTAGATATCTATTTTTTTGTCTATATTATATCAGTTGTCCATACCTGGAGTAGGTCTATGCACTGGGATCAAGTAATCATTTTATGAATTGACTTTTTGTCTACCTCAGTTTATAATATTGAATTTCAAATCTTTCTGACCTTTTCATGTTCAACTGAATTAAGCACATTTTAACATGTACTTAAGGGGTAGAAGCCATTTATTGGGCTTATGAACAAAAAGGAAAGGCTATAAGTGGCATGAATTGTACAGCTTCTTCCCCTTCAGTCTTGTCACTGGCTCTAGAGGGTCAGGAGTTTGTCCTGCCTTCCTCAGTCTAAGGATGATTGCCCACTCTGGTAAAAGATGTATTAATGGCTCCTTCTGGGAGATGCCTTATCTACCCAGGTTCCTAAGCCAGGGAAACCAGAGACTTAAGATTGGGTCTTCCTTCAGCCTGTTCTAGCCATAGTCTAACTTCAATCATCTTTGTTTGTGACCAGTGCTCAGATATTTAAAAGTATCTCCTCAGCCCTGGTCTTTGTGACTTAGTTTGTTGGAGCATTTTCCAGTACATCAAAAGGCTGGGGTTCGATTCTTGGTCAGGGCACATATCTAGGTTGCGGGTTTGAGACCTGGTCAGGGTGCATGTAGAAGATAACCAACTGATGTTTCACTCACATTGATGTTTCTCTCTCTCTCTCTTCCTCTCTCTGTGGAATCAATAAAGATTTTATATATCTATATATGTATGTACATATACATATATGTCATATACATATATAGTCTGTCTGGAAAAAATCCAGCCATTGTTAATGTAATGCGAATGGTTTGTGTGACATTGATGTAACATGGCAGCCAAGGAGAGTGGACTGGAATGCACGTGCGTGAACAATGACAGTTTCACTCTACTATTCAGTGGGGGCGGTAGACACCATTAAGAGAGCAGGTATACTGTATGACTGTCACATTCATAATGACTGAGAGATTAGAGCAACAAATCTGCATCAAATTTTGTATTAAGCTTGATTATTCCTCTGCAGAAACTATTCAGATGATTTAGAAGGTTTTGGGGGATGATGCAGTGAGTGCAGCGCAGATAAGTGTGTTATGAATGGTTCAAAGATGGTCAAGAATCTGTTGAAAATGATCCACATTCTGGAAGGCCTGCAACAAGCAGAATACCTGAGATTGCTGAGCACGTATGGGCTGCAGTCAACAAAGACCGGCATCCGACAGTGTGAGAACTAGAAGCTGAGCTGGGGTTTCCAAAAACTACTGTGTCCGAGATTTTGACACAGGATCTTGACATGAAATGTGCTGTAGCAAAATTCGTTCTGCAGGTTCTTCTACCAGAGCAGAAGGAACATTGTGTTGCAGTTGCTAATGACAATTCAGACTGCTACCAATGAACCAGATTTCCTCAGGAAGGTCCTAACTTTGAAGAGGATTGAGGAATCATTGTCCTATATATGATGTTTCTTGTATCTTCTTCAATAAATGACTCTATCTTTCCTATTACATGGATGGATACTTTCTGGACAGACCTTGTGTATGTCCCCAGCCCCTACCAATCAGAGTAGGATCAACTTTCACCATTTCTTTTTCCCCCAAAGGTAGTGATATTAAAACAGAGCTTACATCTCATTGCTCTCTTTTTCCCTAAGCCTCTGTGGAAGATATGTGTGGGTGGTGGGAGGCTTAACTAATGTTGATTCACTACTTTAACTGTATCTATTTTAACTTATTTAGAGAACTGACCTTAATATATTAGATTAGAACATTTTTCTGGCTTCTTGGTTTTGCTGACCAAAATAAAGAAAGCTTTGATTCATAATACATTTTGGCTAAACATATTCACAATCTCATTCTAAATTTTACTTCAATTTTCAAAGAGAAAAAACTATGTTGATATTCTGACCATAACATTGTCTCACTTCCTTACTTTTTTATCTGAACCCCCAAGAGGGACTTATAAAACACAGGACTTTAAAAAATATTGTGCATGTTGTTAAAGTGGCAAAACTGGCTTTGGAGTGGCAGCCACTGGAATTACAGGCAAAAGGGTTAGAACAAGATAATGAGCTTCTAGGGTGACCAACCCTGTCTTTCCTCCCTTATTGAAATGACGATGAATGTCCCAGAGAGTGTCAGAGTCAGTTGGCCTTATTTTTCATGCCTTCTTTTTCATTTCATCACAGGCCTAGGGTCAAGAATTGCCTCTGTGTCATCAAAAATCAGTTTGAGCCACCTTGGCATACTTCCATGGTAGCTGGTGCTTGCTTGAAACCCATATTTAAGTATTTCTTAAGCATTAGCACAATAGTTGCGTTGAATATTATTAATGCCAATCATTGAGAACAGGCTTATTTTTTAAAATGTATATAGAAAAATACAGTATCCTTATATTCTGAAGAGTTTTAAAATTTTAAAGGTGAAATATTGGAAATAGAGTTTCAATTGTGTGTGTGAGTGTGTTTGCAACCAATGTAATGCAAAATCATAAGAATTATGAAAATGTGGAAGCTGCTAGTTAAAAGTGTGGTGCGTTGCTAGTAAGAAATTATACCATATGTATTTTTTGAATGCTGTTCTCATCTTTATTCATAGTATATTGGCAATTTTTAAAAAGGCTTCATTTCTAGAATAAACAATAAGACTTCAGAAGGAAGCTTAGATTTCTGTGAAATATCCTTTGCATTAATAAATTAACTGAACCTTAATAAATCACAATGTGCACTTGCTGAGCACCTCCCTGCTAAGTGTCATGAATTGATCTCAATGCTTTACTTGTATTAATTCATTTGCTCCTCACAGTAATTGTGTAAATTAGATACTATTATTATCCTAATTTTACAGATAAGGTAACTGATTCACAAAGATTATAATATCTTGCCCAACATCATAAACCTAGTAAGTGTCAGAGAAAAAATTTAAATCCCAGCAATCTGGCATTAGAATCTGCATTTTTAACCATGGTGGTATGTGCTTTTTCTTCTCTGAGCCTAGAAACAGTGGGGACCATGCTCACCAGTGTGAGACGCCAGAAGCCAATAGCCAAGTGGCAGAGAGAACGTCAGCTGCTGAGGAGCTCAGAGTGCTCAAGCTGCTACTACTTTACAGTGCAAGGGAGCAGGGATGAGAGCCAGGGAGCAGATCTAAGAGGCCTCTGCTTCACTAGAGTTATATTCCCCAAATAAGTAAATACACAAAATTTAATGAAGTTGCCAGAGTAAATTCATTTCTACTAAGATCAAAATATGTTGGTTTGTTTTTTAATAGTGATAAAAACGAGCCTTTCCACTGAAATATTTTAACTATTTCCTATTAGACGACCTTCTCAAGTCATAGTCATCTTTAAAGAAGTTAGTTCACCATTTTGGTGGCTCAAAGGGGCAGGCTACATGATGGGTTATGCTATAGCTTGAATGTTTGTGTCCCCTCAAAATCTATATGTTAAAATTCTAATGCTTGAAGTGATTGTTTTAGTGGGGGGGGCCTTTGGTATGTTCTAAGTCACGAGGGTGGAACTATCATGAACAGAACTAATGCCTCATCGAAGAGGCTCCAGAGAGATCCTTTGCCTATTTCACCATCTGAAGACACTGAGAACGACCTGGAAGAGGGCCCTTACCCAGTTATGCTGGCACCCTGATCTTGGTCCCACAGCCTCCAAATCTTTGGGAACATTTTTGTTGTTTACAAGCTACTCAGTCTGTGGTAGTTAATTTTAGCAGCCTGAACAAACTATGATGGCTGTGTTGTGAATCACAAAGTATTTTTAAAGAACTAATAGGCCAGAGAATTTGATATTTTTCCTTTCCAGACCTTATTTGGTTTTTAACTTTTAATTATTTTCAGGGTTATCTAATATTAATTTCTCTTTATTTCTTCCTTCATCTAATCTCTCTTAACCCTTCTTTTTTAATTTATTGATTTTAAAGAGAGAAGAAGGGGGAAGAGAGAGAGAGAGAGGAAAAGAGAGAGAAAAGAGGGTATCAATTTGTTATTCCACATATTTATGCATTTGTTCATTGGTTGATTCTTATATGAGCCCTGACTGGGAAACCCACAACCTTGCTGTTTTGGAATGGTGTTCTAACCAACTGAGTACCAGCCAGGGCTTGACCTTTCTTCATCCTCCAAAAATTTCTTATCCTTGAGACTGGCAATCAATAGGAATACATCTGCATACCTGACAGATACTCTTATCATCAGTGCCTATTCCATATCTGTTGATGATTATATTGATTATCATCCCTCCTTATGTCGCTCTAATTTTATATGTGTTACTCGCTAATAGTCTTCTTCCTTATTTTCAAGAAGTCTTACCATCCAGAAATACTATGTTCAGGTTGGAACGTAAAGGACTAAGCCAGAGGATGAGAATGAACATCAGCTACATTTCAACTCCTAATCAATGTAGAACTACACATCTCATCCTTTTCCTGAATATAACCATTGACATCAATGTGAAAAGAAATATCATCCAAGAGCTGTTATGACCAATGGCCAAGGACTGAATTTGGTCTGAAAATATTTGCCTCATTCCTGAGTAGTCAGAGAAGTATAAATCTTTAGGATGTCAGGGATCTAGGAAGTTATCTAGATCAATCTCTTCATTTATCAGTAAGAAAACCAAGCATGAGGCATTTAAATGAGTCGCTCAAGGTCACAGAGATTGTTTAGGGAAGAAGCAAGAATGAAAGTCTCAGCTCAGTGGATGTGAAAAGTTTGGACCACACCCAAAGAGCTATCATACTACCGTGAATAGAGTGCCTACTTTGCGCTAAGCTAAATTTACCTTACATATATTAACATTTAATTTCACAATGATCTCTCCTTGTATCCTTTTTGAAAAATCATTTGGCTCTTAATATAGTGGGTCAAGCACAAATAACACCCCTTTTTATTACAAAATCTTTTATTACGAAATCATAAGCATGCAATTCTGTAATGTAACAATATCACACTCAAGCACACCATATGACATTTTAGGTGAAATGTTCAAATTAAAACTATAAACTATTACACCCATATTATTATCCTACCAACTATACTCAAGCAAGCGTTATTTCTGCTGGAACTTGTATGTTCTAAAATATACTTGTGCCATTGAAATGGGGTAGAGCAGAGCAGAAGTCTGGAAAAATAGAGGAACACTTCAATTTTGCAAAAGACAGGTTAGAGCAGTAAGGATTCCCACTGAGAAGAAGGTACAGCCATTGGGACATGTTGCATAACAAATGCAGATTAGACAGTGCCTTCCTGAAGGGAAGGGGCTGTTCAAGGAGACTGCTGCCTGGGGCAAATTGCAAATGTGACTTGTGCTGGAAGAGTGATTCACGTTGGAGCGGTCGGCTCATGCAGGGTCTGTGTAAGCTGCATGGACAAGATGCAAAACCAGGACTAACAGATAGGTGTGTGCCTGTGCATGGTTGGGAAACTTTTTGCTCGTACTAAAAGATGACAGCCAAAAGAGGGTCAAAGACACTGAGGAGCTGACAAAAATGGCCAGATACTCCCACTGGCATTCGGTGCAAGTGGGATTTTAGGAGGGCTTCTTTTAAAAGCAAAGTGTTGGGGGTGGGGGAAAATTGCCTGTTTCTCTCTCTTTCTCTCTCTCCCTCCTGTGTGTGTGCACAGTTGATACAGAGAAACCATTCTCTTGCTTAGGAGCTTGGTACAAGCTCTCTATCTGGGCTTTTGCCATTTGGATGTTCTGGGCCTCTGGCCCTGCCTGCTCCCTGTACTCACAGGATTAGGAGATGCCAGACCTATCAGGGGCTCAGACCCCATCTGGATGACTGCCCACATTTGGAGGCAGGGTCTCATGCTGAGATGTGTGCCCCCCTGGGCTCTAGTTTCTGGGACTCTATGATCCAGGGTAGCATGGCACATGGTTTATGGACAGCTACATGGAGAGTGAGAGCAGTGCACCCCAGATCCTGAAAGAGAGAGCTTCTGTGAGAAGGTGGTACCACTGAAACCCACAGGTGCACATTCCAGAGAGATGGAAATCTGTTTGTGCGGCTGGCTTAAGAACAGATAAGGACATGGGGAACTTCTGGGCATGATTTTGGTTTGGAGTCTTTTGGGGAGAAAGGGAAGTTCTGGGTCTCGTGAGAGAGAAGGGTTCAGAGCAGGGGTGCTCTCAGTGTCCCCCAGGTTGGAACCTTGTTAATAAAAACCTGTTTTCTTCAACATGAATCATTGAGTCACGTAAACCTAA